CCCAGTGGTCGTCACTCTCGTGCTTCTTGTCCGCCGCCAATGAATGGTTGGTTACCTTAGTTAGTGCTGATCATGTCCCAGTCGAATATCCAGGATTCGGGGCTCGACCTGCATATGATCGTCAAGCGGTGAGTTACTGTCCGACTTCAGGTAAATGGGGAAATGTACAGACTTAATTCAACCAAAGACGGGTACATGCTTGCGTGCGCCTTGAACGTGGCGTCGGTTGGCTGATTATCGTTCCCCTCATTGGCATCCAAAGCTCCAAGCATCACCGTATCTCGCATTTGAAAGTCCCGCGCTCTACATCGCATATCCTTTTTGCCTGAAGACTGAAAACAGGAAGCTATGCCCTCCGATCGCGCTGTTGAGGCTGAGAAGCCAGAAAGCGACCATGCTTCCATTCGCGATGCCATCACTCACACCAGCCCTCAAGACGAGGCGCAGTTGACAAGACGCATATTGTTCAAGACAGACACGAGGTGTGTTCTCCTCCAACTCTCATCTACGAGCCCTCCCGTTGACAATCCCCCTTAGAATCCTCCCGATCCTCTCCCTCCTCTTCCTCTGCTCCTTCCTCGACCGCACCAACGTCGGCAATGCGAGAATCATTGGCCTCGAAAAGGATCTCGGTATCTCCAACTTGCAGTACAACCAGGGCCTAGCCGTCTTCTACGCCACCTACATTGCCAGGTAAGCTCTTCCTCCTCGCCCCCTGAGCCTTGAGGTTCCCCTCTGCAGCACTCCAAGCATATTCGGTTTTTTTGTTTATGTGAGCTCACCGCTTCTTACTTACTGATAAAATAATACAGTGAACTCCCCTCCAACCTGGTCCTCAAAAAGCTCACCCCGAAACTCTGGCTGCCCTGCCTGACCTGCGCATGGGGCTTGATCACCATGTGTCTGGGCTTCGTGCGGAGCTTCGCCAGTTTCTTTGCCGTGCGCGCGCTACTCGGCCTGGCGGAGGGCGGGCTCCTCCCGGGCATGGTGCTGTACCTGTCGGGGTTGTATACGCGGCGCGAGATTGCGGTCAGGGTGGGGCTGTTTTATACGGCGGCTTCGCTTTCGGGGGCTTTTGGTGGTATGTTTTTAGTGATTGTTTTATTTCCGTTCTGGTGTTCGGGCGTGGTATATCCCCTTCGAGGAGAAGGAGCTGGGTGTTGGCTGAGGGCCTTAGAAGGGAAATGCTAATGCGTGTACGGCGCGATGAATAGGCCTGCTCGCTCGTGGGTTGTCGGCTATTGGGCCGAGGGGTGGCTTGGAGGGGTGGAGGTGGATTTTCATTATTGAAGGGTTGATTGTGAGTTTTGCTTTATGAGAGTGAGGGTTTGGAATTGAAAAGCTGACTATAAGCAGACGATTGTGGCGGGGACCATCGCGTACCTGCTTCTCCCGACGAGCATTTCGAGTGCGTCGTACCTGAGCGAGGAAGAGAAGGAATTCGCCCTGCTCCGCCTCCAGGGGCGGACGCAGTCGACTAGTTCAGAAAGATTCAAGTATGTCGGATCTGAATCTCTGACTTGTCAGAGATGGCAACAGTTGAGCTGACTGCGCAGTCCCGTGATCGAGCGCGAGGAAAGGTTCAAGTGGTCTGAAGTACGTCGCGGCGTATTCAACGTTCAGGTCTGGCTTACATCGACCGCCTACTTTGCCATCTTGTCTGGACTGTACAGCTTCGGCCTGTTTGTAAGCATCAATTCTTTTCACTAACACCCCCAGCTGCTGATATGTCGTCTACTAGCTCCCCACTATCATTAACGACATGAAAATTACCTCCAACGCCAACGAAACCCAGCTCTGGTCCGTCATCCCCTACGCAGTCGCAACACCCATAACCGGTGCGTCCCTTCCCTTCCCTTATCCTATTCTCCCCACAACCACGCAGTCACCCACTAACCCCGGCGATGGAATCAACCAGTCCTCATAGCATTCGCCTCCGACCGGCTCAACCTGCGCGGGGTGATGATGCTGTGCACGCTGCCCGTCGCGATCGTCGGCTACGCCGTCATCGCCAACGTGTCTGCCGCGAGCGTCCGCTTCGGCATGACCTGCCTCATGGCCATCGGCATGTACGCCAGCGTGCCGTGCGTGCTGGTGTGGAACGCCAACAACTCGGCGGGGCATTACAAGCGGGCGACGACGTCTGCGCTGCAGCTCGCGGTGGCGAATTGTGGCGGGTTTGTGGCGAGTGAGTATTATCTCCTCTGAGCACCTGAAGGTACTCTAACGGAACGTTAGAGTTACCCAGGTTTCCCTTTGTAAGGGAGGAGTGGGAGTTGAGCTAGTGGCTGACTGATATGTGAAACTTGGCAGCATTTGTGTACCCCAGTCATGAAGGGCCGCTGTATCATAAGGGCCATACAATTTGCCTGGCGCTGTTGGTTTACGCCTGGTTTGCGTGGGTCTTTCTGTTCTCAACCATCTACTTCTCGGATTACAAGGTGCAAGTTGACTGACACGGTCATTAGAATTCTGGCCAACGTTCTATGGTGTGCCAAGATCAACAGAGACAAAAAGAACGGGAAGTATGCGCAGTACGAAGGGAGCGGAGGTGATAGAGACCCGAGGTTCAAGATGGTACTGTGAGCCTGAGATCTTGATGGAGATAGACCAACGGCAAGAGGGCTCAAACCTAGCGGAAGGACTTGAAGGGATGATGGCAATGACACGGTCGCTATCTTTCAGAGGGATTGCGCTCAAGATATCAATGACATAACGTTATATATATTGTACACCGTCTAATCGCCACGCACCAGAACTCCTGTACTCCTCCTACCACAGCACGGAAATGATATCCCATGAAATACAACAATGACGGACCGTTGAAAAAGAGCGAATCTCAGGAAAAGAGGAAATATCAACAGGGTAAACCCAGGTAAAGAGCGAAAAAAAAAAAGATGAACTCGTAGAACAGCTGTGAGGATGCAGCGGTATTAGCAAGAATGAGTGTAAAGATGGTCTGAGAGAAGGATAGCGAAAGGAATGCCTGTGAATAATAGAGTGATTGACCAGGGGGCCGGTTAAACGAATGGTCGTAAGTAGCTGAAACGAGCGACGGAGGAAGAATTGAGCGAGCGGGTACTGAAAGAGCGACTGAAGGATCCGAACGGTTAAGTGAGCGACAAGGAGATACTAGTGGTTGAACCACAGCGCTGAAGGATTGCTGAAAGTGGCTGAAATCAGTGAAATGGTGCCAAACGAGCGAGGAGATAATGTTAAAAGAGCGACTCCAGAGATCGAGAGCGAGTGTACGGGAGCAAATGACGATGAAGGCGAAGGAGCGACCAGGCGCTGAAACGAGCGAAGACACGCCATGAGAAATGGCCGTAGAATGACCGTGAAATATACCTCTGCTGCCAGACGCCCGGGGCCGAAGCCATCTAGATAATGGATCCCTGAATGCTCCCCTGTATCCGAGTAGTGTTTTCGAAGACAAGTACGTCGGTCGAGCATCATTTTGTTGACTTTGCTGACAATGCTGAACGAATGTGATAGTGTCGTAGTGAGCGTATCATGAGTGACCGACTGAAAGTGAGAGTGGGGTGCCGTATTATAAGCCCGGCATCTCATGTGCCAGGGTCAAAAAGCAATAGCAGCGCAATAACGAATGGCAAAAGGAAGGGAGCATCAAGCCTGCGCTCCGCGTTTATTTCCCCGCGTTCCCGACGCCGCTGGTGTCCTCGCTGACCTGGCCGGTCTGCTGCATCTTCGACAGGACCGGGACAGACACGCCAGGGCAGCCGACGCCCTGGGTGGTCATGTTGAAGTTCTGCATGACTTGGATCATGGCGGTGGCCCGCAGCTTCTGGGTCTCGACCGACTTGTCCGACTCGTCGTTGAACTTGTCCAGCGTGATGGGGACGGCGACCTGCTCCTTGCTGAAGATGAAGCCTTTGGTCAGGGCTTGCGTGAGCTTGTTGAGGAAGTCGGGGTCCGTCGGAGCGGGCGGGCAGTAGCAGGGAATCGGCTTCTGGTTGGCACCGGTGCAGGCGCCCTTCTGGACTTGATCCCTGCCCTGGCCCGCGGTCACGCCGAAGGACTTGGGAATGACATTCTGGTTGACGGAGCTGGAGTTTTGACGAGGGGCCACGGCCGCGGAGGCGCTGGCGGCGAGGAGGGCGACGAGAGAAACGGGATGCATCTTGGAGGAAGGAGTGTCTGGTTTCTCTGGAAGAGGGAGCAAAGGGTCCGGCCCGAGAAGAGAGCACGATAAGAAAGTCTGAAGGAAAGACGAGACCCCTGAGGAGCCAGTAAATGAGATGAGATGAGTGGTGGATGGGTGAGTGGTGAGGAGATCCAAGAACGCCGGATTGCCTGTCTACCTATATACCCCAATCCATCCATGCTGATGGCTTGCGGAACATATCACAACGTTGAGCCCTCTCTTGGAGAGATGACAGGTCAACGGTCACGAAGGTGGTGGGACTGGACACATTGGCCGTGGCGAGAAACGAAACATGAGGTGGGCATCAAACCTTGACCCCTCTGATGCGATATACCGACCGCGTGGTCCAGACGGTGTGAGCTTTGTTTCCGGCGCTTGGGCGGCTGCATTTTAACCGCCACACCTGAACTCCGCGAAATCATGCACATCAGACGGATGGATGCAATTGCCGGGCAGGTTCCCGCTCTGTGACACCGCGTGGGCCCCCTGCAGCGGCCGTGACAACCCTGGGACATGCACAACAAAGAACTCCGTTCTGTGCTGGCCATTGTGGTTGCCGGCCGTAATGACGGCCTTCCACTGATCCCTGCCATTGGCTCTCCGGTAGTCTTCCTGCGCCGTCCGGTGTGGGGTAGCCTTGGCCCGGCCGACCGCCGAGACAGGTTACCACTCCGGCCCCGGTCGCCATTGCATTCCGCTACGCATATCAGACGATCTCATCAGATATCGAAACTTCATAGCTTCTCGTTCGGGAGGATGTTAGGAATGTCGCATTCCGGACCGCTCACCTTGCCTTATTAGGGTCAGGAACTGGATAAAGATCATCAACAAGCAAGACTCCATGGTGTAGTTGGTTATCACGTCAGTCTAACACACTGAAGGTCTCCAGTTCGAACCTGGATGGAGTCAGCGTGTTCCTTTTGCATGATTTTTCCGCTCCACCCGCCCGATTTCCGCATTCTTCAATTCCGCAAATGCAACTCATCTATTACTGAGGCGCGATGGCTGAGTGGTCTAAAGCGTGAGACTCGAAATCTCATCTCTTCGGAGGCGTCGGTTCGAATCCGGCTCGCGTCGACTTTTCCTACCCTGAGCTTTCTTTTGCCCTTCGAGAGCTTGAGTTTGGTTGATCCTGCTCCGTTCTGCGGAGCAGTTCGTGACTCCATGTTTCTCCAATCACCAATTCCTCCAAGCTTCCCGTACAATCCAGATACAGCCGAATTGTTGCTGAGGTAGGGGCAACCGTTCCTTATACTGCAGGAGGTCCTTCTCTCCGATCAAAATACTGTTGGGAAGATCAGCTGAGCTAGCTCGGGATATTGACCCTTTTGTGTTCGAATCAATGGAAAGAGGATAGCGGAAGTCGTGCGGCTTTCTCGACGACGATGCTGGCCGTAATCCATTGGCTCCAGTGGACGGCACAGTTGATGCAACATGAAGGGATAGCATGTAACAGACTAAAGCTCACTAAATTAGAACGAAGTGACAGAATCCAAACATTGAGACTGGAAACCTATAGGACACCTTTCCTGAAATCTCTCGTAGTTATTCATCTCCTATACTTAAGCACTCCTCGAGGCTTTCAATCCAATCCAGCAATCCTCCACACATGACCGCACTTCTCAAACTCAGGACTAGGACTTACATATGCCGACTCAAACTCACTGCGCCAGCCCTTCTCCTTCTCATCTTCACCGCCGCCGCACCCGATGCATCAGTACCGTTTCCGCCAGTAGCAGCAGCAGTGGCGTTACTCGAGGCCGTGCCATTGCCACCTCCAGTTGCGTTTCCATTTGCATCCCCATTACCCGCATCGCCCCCATTTCCATTCCCATTGCCATTCCCATTGCCATTCCCATTGCCATTTCCATTCCCATTTCCACCGCCAGCAACAATGACGAAGACCCTCTCGCCGCCCTTGCCTCTTCCCTTACCCTTGCCTCTTCCGTTCCCATCACCGTCGCCGCCGCCGTCCCTGCCATCTCTGTCTCGGTCGCCGTCGCCGTCACTATCATCGCCTCGCCCTGGGCCTGGCGCTGCCATGACGGGTGATGGCGCGGTTGCTACTGTTATCGCTGCGAGAGCGCCCTAGGTGGGAAAGGGGGATGTTAGTTAGTTCATACGGGCCATGAGGAGAAGGGGAAAGGGCCAGAAGGTGAGGAGAGATGCCAATGTGGCGTGGCGTGGCGTGGTGCTGGTGTGTGAGTAAGTAAAGCCTTACGGCGTAACGTAGACTGAGTGCATTGGTGCTGGGTCCGCTGAAACCGGCAGCGGTGCTGGCGGCGGAGAGACCGCCGGCAACGACCAGGGCGTGGGCCAGGGTTGGAGCGTGCATCGTGGGTTAAGGTAGGTAGGAATGTTCTGGGGAAGAGAGTAGGTAATTAATAGATACAGAATCTAAAAGGGATGTGGTAACTGGTAAGTAGACGGCTCAGCCGTCGTGGAAGCGAATGTAACTGATAGTACCCGAGTATTCTGGGGGAGGAAAGGGATAGACCTCTTCTTGCCGGAAGGAGAGGATACAGGTATATGAACTTGATGGGCATAAGACGCCTGTGACACTATCTTCGCTGGGGAACGTAGAGGTGGCGGAAGTGTACAAAATCCTTAAACCTCCGGGGACGAAAATCAATCCTGTCAAACCTCTGGATAATCAAGTTTTTCTCAGCCAGTACAGCACCGAGCAGGTTTGTACAACAGGGTTGATTCCTTGTCGTGAACCATCGATTGAAGCCAAGAGTTAAGTCTCTGTCGCAATCCGCGTGTCGTGCCGCATTTTAGGCCAGTCCTCGGCGAATTACTACTCGATTCCAGATTCCCGAGCGGCACAGATCTACAGTGCATCTAGATTTATCAACTATCGCATGGAACAGTCTAGGCTTCAGACAGGCCGCCACGAGTGGCCGCATTCTGTGCCAATGACTTGCGGGTGGCTGACGTCGAATGTGTCGGATATACCCCCCAACTTCGCTGGGCCGCAGGGTCAAGGACCCGGCTGAAACCCCAGCTTTGCGCAAAGAATGTGTAGAATTTTGCCTGGCAGGATTGTTTGGACATTGACTAATAGTTCGAGCAGAAGCCTGTGTCTCGACTCGCGTAACCTCCATCTGGTGACGAACGTCGTGACAGCGAAGAGGGAAGGCAGCCTCAGAATGGTGTTAGAAGCATCTTCACATTTCTATCATTACAAGCACGACGGAAAGCTCCGAGAGGACTTTCGAAAGAACGTTTGCTATGCCACCCTCGTTTCTTGTCGGTCGGCTTCTTACGTTCTGTACCGAAGTGGCAAACTGTAGCAAACAGGCAGTATGAGACAGTTGGCGGGCGAGCTGTGTGGTTAAAGAAAGGGGAACTGATGTTATATCACTGCCGCTGCAGCCGTTGCCTTCGTCGAATGGTTGAGTCTCGACATTGCTCGACAGCGTCTTGGTGGAAGACCACCCTTCGACCCGCGGATGTAGGCCGGTTCTGTGAAGGTTTCCGGCCCGTTTTGATTGACAGTCGGGCCCGATTGGGACCAGGGTGCCCTATCCGCTGCAGAAAATTGTCGAGTGTTGCTCTATTGAGAGATATCCGTTGCCGTAGGGCAGACGAGCGCCGCTTCGTCGGCAAGAGAACCCTGATCTTGGGTCTCTCGGGCCTGGATGAGGAAGACCCCATTTGCTGACGCCAATAGCGTAGTTCAGCAGCGGGTAACAAGTCTAGATGTATGATGATTGGTAGTGTTCTCACTTTGCTGCAGCTGCAGACGCAGGCAATGCAGGATTCGGCGTCCAGATGACAATCTTAGGAAAGCTGATGAAAGGTGTAAGGAACGGCGCTCCAGGCAGGTTGGAGCTCCGTGAGTGGATTTATCAATACAGTTAGCATAAGTCCGTGTTCGGTCAAGGGGACAATTCTCACATTCACTCTGGGGCATGCCGTTTGGAGGCTCACATGAGCACCTCCCGAATGCTTGGCAGCATCATGAGATGGTACACTCATCCAATGTGTGCTTAGGTACCTTTGTCCATGCTCCCGTGACCCCTCAGCCAGCCGCAAACTCCCGTCTCAAGCAGATTCAATGCAAAGGCAAGTTCCTAGCCGCAATAATGGGACCTCACACCTGGAGCCCTGACTGGGGCGCATTACATCCGCATGTGGCCTTGCCGCCGAATGAGCCATCGGTGACCGTCTCCCTTGTCTTTTCGGAATGTTCTTAGATATGCTACTGACTGGGAGGTCCCAGAATTGTATGAGTGACCTGGAAAGATGACATTCATCCACTGATTCGCTAGATTACTAAGATTGGAACAGCTGATTACGAAATCAGAGCTGGTGAAACTGGAGGGTGATATGAGTGATGGCCAAGCCAGCGAGACAGATGTAATGATGGTCTATTTGATTCGGAGACAGATTAAGGTAGAGGCCCTCTTCCACCGGTCGTCCTAGCGCAGGTAGCCACTATATGAGGCGACTGAAACCAATTCGTTTTCAACAGCGCCGTGGTCGAGTGGTCACACGCCTCGGTTCACCCATGCTCCAACGGTGCCCGACAGGGCCCGGTTTCGATTCCTGCCCAGAGAACTGACTTGCCAGCTTTTCGCAACTTCCCAATCTCCGGGTCTCGTCGAAAATCCCCCATGATAAGGGTTTTCGTAACCACCAACCTGCCTTGCAACAGATCCGACGGGGGGCTTGGTGGTGAGCTTTTTGTATTTGACTTTTCTCTTTTATATTTGAGTTTTTCACTTTTACTTCACCGTTCCAATGCATGCAAACTGATGCGGAACCCTTCATCATGCAGTCACCGAAGCCGAAAACGCTATCCGCCGAAAGTATATATCATTATTGTCATGACGTCGTAACTGGATATCAACGGCCGCTCTATCTCCATCCCTTCGACACCCTTCCCAAAAACATATCAACGGCTTCTAGGCCCAGCATGCCCAACGGATATCTACATAACCATATCCATCGAAACAGAAAACCCTCACCGACATCCAACCCCTCTCTTCTCCAACCCAAACCTCCAACCCCTTCCCCTCAAACATATGCCCGGTGATGCGAGTGCGAGCTGCGCCGACTGCCCCCGCGATGCCCGCTCCTGCTCCTGCTCCCATGCCGACTATGGCTGACCCGCCTGGTCTCAACATACCTCCTCTCCGACTTGACAGCCCGATCGCCATGAATCCACGCCAGCACGGCCGTAATGAAGAAGAACACCGTGTTCATGATCCCCAGCGCAAAGCACGCCTTGAGCATGCTGCACGTCTTATTCAGGCTCACACTGACCCCGTTGACGGTGGCACTCCCGAAGATGCCGAAACTGACATCGTAGCTCGACCCGCGCTCGATGGACGCGCAGTCGGCGCGCGAGATGAAGCGCAGGTAGTACACGCCCGCGATCAGCGCGCCGACAAAGGCCAGGTCGACGAGCGCCACGAACTGGGCGTGGGTTGACGAGCGGTGGTAGCTGAACAGCGTGAAGAGCGCCCAGGCGGTCGCCAGCACCGACACGATGAAGAGCAGCAGGATGTAGGTCGGGGCCATCACGTTGGCGTCCATGTAGCCGGATACGAACCAGGCTAGCATGCCGAGGATGGGGATCTGTTTGTGGAGGTTAGCAATGAGGTGCAGTGGAACTGGAGGAGTAAGGGTTTGAATTTACTCACCAGAGTGATGATTTCGAGGAAGCGCCAGAAGGCGAACATGATTGCGAAAAGCATCTTCGCCGATGATGACGCGCCGTGCGCAGATTTGTTTGCGGTGCTGCGTTTGATTTCGATTCGAATGAGGCACCGCTTTTCCCGCTGATTGTCGACGATCAAGTATGTTGTCTCACCAGGTCTGCCGCCGCAAGACTTAAGAGATTGGTTGGGCGATGAGAAGAACCAGTCGGAGATGTTGGTTTGAGTGTGTATTTGATT